GTGCAAAGAAGGAAACCACATGCACCTGCCAAAGATTATGTATCAATACCGAAAGAGGGTACCGCTGCCAATGTTCGGTAGGGTTCAAGCCGGGCTATGGTGGCAAGTCTTGCATAGGGGAGAGAATCAGCAATTCTCAAGTGCACACCTTTTTTCTGAAATCCGGTCTGAAAATGAGAAGTCCATCAAATCAATCGGGAAGACTTCTTTTTCACTCGCTGTACGGCCAATCCGCATCCTATATATTTTCTGTGTTCACTGCTTAGATATCGACGAATGTGACACCAGTAACGGTGGATGCCAGGAGGGCTGCGTCAATCTGATTGGTTCATTCAGATGTAAGTGCACGACAGCGGGCTCTTCATTGGCTCCCGACGGGAAGAAATGTGTATGTAAGTATGGGAATGTGAAAGTATCATCTTAGAAGCTGGTTATGCTCCCTTCATAACGCAACCATGCTCTATTCGGGGACAACGTTTCTCGTCATTTCTGAGGAGAAAAAGAGAGAGCGCGCGTAGCTTTAATCGGCGATCATAAGGGGAGAGGGCGTTCATAAGGAGAGAATAGTTGTCCCCGATTATAGTAGGGCTCTCCGTTATATTCGCTTTTATACAAGAACGAGTAAAGTACATGAGAGTTATGTTCGTGTAGTGTCTCAGGAGTTTTCAAGCTACAACTTTACGCGGGAACCCTCCACGGGTCTGTCCTGCTCGTGCTGGTCTGGCCACTTGATGTCACATTCTCACGTGACTTCATAGCGTCACGTGACGTAATGGCGTTCTGTGATGTCAGCCTCACGTGACATGATGGTATCATGTGATGTCACATCGTCACTTGACGTCATGGTGTTGCGTGACGTCACGGTCAGGACGCGAGGTGACATCGCGTACTGATATCGCGTCGCAGCGTCATATGACGTGACGTCTCAATTTCCCTCTAAAATTGGCGGTGAAATATCTTCGTTAAATTGCAATAGAAAGTGCTCCTCGTTAAAAAAAAAAAAAGTCAAGTGCACCTTTATTGCGCTTGACAGCTTCTAGGCCAAGCAATTTTTATCACATCTGTTCAGAGAATACAAAATTGTTGTTAATAGCTTTTACTCGGGACACAAAGGTGCCTCAAATGGTGATATTACACCCAACGCTGTTTCAGTAAGAGAAAGACAATGGTAGTGCCTCGTGGGCAGTTACTCGCAGAGAATACCGCTCTCGCTTTGAGCCCTTCTGGCACTAAGTTATACAGGGTGTTTGACTTTAATTAAAACAGCTTTATTATAAAAAAAATCCGTGAAAGATACCTTAACGCGGTTTGTTCAAGTGAGTGATACGGCCACAAGGACATAGTGGAGGGGAGTAATGCTCACGATAAATCGTATAACTGACTAGTATTCTTTAAGTGACTTTTCAATTTGTGCAAGTAAACATATGGTTCCAATTATGGCGTCATCAAAAATAACTAAATCAGTCAATTGCAGAACGGCTTGAAGCGCGTCGGAAGCGCGGAAGTGCACAAAAGTTACCACTCGTACGACAGGCGCAGAGCTAGCAGTAGACAAAAGCGGATGATTAGATTATCATGGCCGGAGTCCGGTCCCTAGCTTTCCGGTTGTTGCAGGAGTGGTACTTTGGTGCACCCCTGCCCTTCCTACGTGCTTTAAGTCGTTCTAAAATTTAATTTCGTGGTTTTATATGACGCTCGGCAGATTTTAATTGAAATCATATGTTTATCTTAACAAATTGAAAAGTCAATCGAGAGATTTTAGTTAATTATCTAACTTATCGTGAAGATTACCCACTAAAGTATGTCCTACTGGCCGTATAACACACCTGAAGTGAACACGTTCATGTAGCTTTCACAGATTTTTGAACCGAATCTGTTTAAAGAAATAGGGCAGGCACATGCGTTTAAAAAAATATTAATAATCACATGCGTCCCATACTTTGCGTTACGAAGAGCAGCACAGACTATGGTGACCATACTCTGCACTACTCTTTGTCCGCAGAGGTGCCTTAGGTCGGTCTTGGAACGGCTACGAAGAAAAGCAATAATGCAAAGTACTACCACATTTTTCACCGATATCAGAGATAGGTTCGGATGAAATTGCCGGCCTTCTGTATTTCATTTCTTTTCCCCCAATCATATCGAACTTTAAAATAGTTGGCCTATTGTTTAAACCGTGATGTTCTTGTGATTGGCCGGAAAATAACTTTCCTGGTCTCGTCAGTACTCTCCAAAAACATTTGCTGGATTTTGACTGCCTGATGGGAGCAGATGCTGTATACGGAAAATGTATCGTAGATTATATAAAGCAGGAGTGGCTAAACCGCTGCTGGCGAGCCTCATGTGGTTCTTCGGGGGCCTATGTCTGGCTTGCTACTCGCTCATAACCTCCCCCCTCCCCCCCCCCCTTTAAAAAAAATTAAAATGAAGTATAGAAAGAAAATGTACGTGCATTGGGCACATGGCGTTATGAGTTGTATTCGCCATGGCCACCAATTGAGAGGAAAAGCAATTTTAAGAAGTGCCACTTCCCATTTTTTATTATTGCTCTTCATTTAACATGGTTCCTTGAATGACGTTTTGAATATGTCCGTCTGACCACCTCTTATCTATATACTGATAGCCATAGATCGTTCGAAAAGACAGCCTTTATTTCAGATATGTATTATTTTCGTGGTTACGTGTAATGACAAGACCCTCCGAATTACAGTTTGCGTTGCTTGTAGCTGTACCTTGGTATGAGCATTCTGTTGATAGTCGTTGTGTGTTCGCGTTTTCTCAGATGCGAAGGTGACACAGAGACCCTCAAATCCCTGCGACGTTAACAACGGAGGCTGTTCCCACAACTGCACATGGAATGGTCGCAAAGTTATATGTTCTTGTCCTTCAGGATTCTATCACTACAAAAAAATATGCTTAGGTAAGCAGAATAAACTAGAATAAAAAAAAAGATAAGGCAGCATTGTAACACAGAATGTGTGATATGGTTGGTTTCTAACCGTTTCCGGCTCCCACTCCAGCGACGGAAAAGAATAACGCGAGTGCCAATCGTACGCTGATGCAGCTCTCGTCTCCTCACTGGATCTACATGAGTGCCAGCCGAACGTCTTGCTCGACTAGAGTGTATCCGAGTTACTCCCGCGGCTCGCATCACGTGATCGAACATAGAGTAGCGAATGCCACGCGCTGTATACTCCAGCACGGACTAAACGAGCGAGCTCCGGGATTTTGCTAAGCGCGCGCTCTCTTTGGCGCGTGGTCGGCTTTCCACAACTGGCCAAACGCAACGTATGACGTCTCAAGCGGAATTAACTCTGCCTTCATCCACGTAAATGAGAGCGATGTCATACTATCGACTTTGACGGCGGTTGTGAACGTGATGAGCCCAAGCTCGCACCGTGCATTTTTGCGCGCGCACACCATCGAACTTACCTTCGCAGCTGGTGATAAGTAGCCAGGATCACAACTGGTGACGTCACGGCGATACAAAGAGCTCAGTTGTAGAACTCCCGCAGAGGGCGCTACTCCGCTCACCCCGTCAATCGTCCGCTTGGGAGACAGGGGTGGGCAACCTACGTGTTTACGTTTCGGTGCCGAAATGGCCGATCAAAGCCAAAATTGAACAGTAGCAGGGAACGCTACCGTATACGATGCTCTGGCTACTGCGAGAAGGCGCCACCTGTTCATTGAACGAATACGTGCAGCCTTGGAGTTGGCTGAGTGGTCGCTGCGGGATACATGGCGGCGACGCGATGGCGTTTTGTTTGGTTCTTGAGTACTGAGCGGTGCCAGTTTTTGTATGCCGGCTTCTATGGCAGCTTCCGCAGTTTCCCAATCAGTATTATTTATGGTATACGTTGAGGCAGCCCCAGAAAGGGTGTAAGCTGGTTGACTGTTATTGCCCTCTAGAAGAGGTGAATTTACACCCTTACAGCATGCGCTGCCACTCTTTAAAAGGGTAAAACCTTCGAACAAAATGTATGCTCTGTTGCCTCTTAATGGAAGTAAAATTACGCCCTTAAAGGCTATTGCACCCCATTAGGGATAAGGTTGTCCCCCAAGGAGCACACCCTGACATAGGGTGTCAAATACACCCTGACATAGGGTGTAAAAATGGCTCCCAAGCGGAAACAGTAACTTTGCTAACGTTTCGAGATGAACCCCAGGGACAAGCAAGTTACTCTAAAAGTTGTGACAACTGTAACCTTTTAGAGCGCAGCACTTAGGGGCCCGTTCCCGGCTTGAGCGGCGTCGGCGTCGCCGTCGGCGTCGGCGTAACCAAGGTCATCCGAAGGTCACGTGACCCCAAGGTCACGTGACCCCTCCAGGTCACGTGACCCCTCCCAAGGTCATCTCAAGGTCACGTGACCCCACATGACCCCCTGAAGGTCACGTGACCCCCAAGGTCACGTGACCCCTCCCAAGGTCATCTCAAGGTCACGTGACCCCGACCCCACGTGACCCTTGAAGGTCACGTGACCCCAGGTCACGTGACCCCTCTGAGGTCGCGTGACCCATATGAGGTAACGTGATCCCCGAGGTCACGTGGTCTCCTCCCCAAGGTCACGTGACCCCCGAGGTCACGTGACCCCCAAGGTCACGTGACCCCTCCCAAGGTCATCTCAAGGTCACGTGACCCCAAGGTCCCCACGTGATCCCCCAGGTCACGTGACCCCTCTGAGGTCACGTGACCGTCACGTGACCCCCGAGGTCACGTGACCCCTCCAGGTCACGTGACCCCCTGAGGTCACGTGGGGGTCACCTTGGGGGTGACCTTGGGGGTCACGTGACCTTGAGGTGACCCCCATGTGACACCCAAGGTCACGTGACCCCCAGGTCACGCCTCCCCGAGGTCACGTGGCCCCCCTCCCCGAAGTCACGTGACACCCCCCCCCCCCCCCCCCCCCCGAGGTCACGTGACACCCCCCCTCCCGGAGCATATTAAAGAATGAGGGGAGGAGGAGGAGAAGGAGGAGGGGTCTACCCTCCCCTCAGTACCCTTCACTCCTCCTCCTCAAGAGCTGCGCTCCAATTCGGCGTTACAGGGAGTTGTAAACGGCTTTCACTTTTTTTTTTGAGGGTGCACCTCGTATTCAGCAAATGCAAAAAGAGAAAACAAATATTAATTTTGACTATTTAGAAATAATATGCATGGAAATGAACGCGACCGATTAATCGACTAAAGGGTGGGGATTAATCGGGTTAAAACTTTTAGTCGACGCCCAGAGCCCTAGAGGTAATCTAGTAAGGTTAAGCGAATCCTAGTCATGACGTCAAGAACAGGAACCGTACGAGGGCGCAACCCAAACATCTCTGCCCCTATAGCGCTGTTCACGAGAAAGCCGCAGAACGGCGCAACGCTTTCGTCTTCTCCGTTCACTTATGCCTAGGGTGTGCATTCTCCGGTTTTAACCGAAAAACACGGATAAACATCCGTCGGTGACGAAAATATAAAATCGGTTAAAACCGAAAAACACCGGTGGTTGGATATTTTCGCCCTGATTAAAACCGAAAAAAAACCGGTCGTTGCTAGTTTCCGATTTAGCGAAACCCTTTCCCCCTAGAGGTTCGTCAAACGTGTTATCTCGTGGATCCTGCATTCTTCCAGTGTTTATACATGGCTTGCAGGTGACGCCAGTCTGCCCTCCTTTCTGGGAATCAAAAGCGTCTAGTGAAAGCAGTGGAAGCTCAGCTCTCATACGCCTTTCCCCTATTGTGTCTCCCATGGCCCCCTTTTGTGGAAAAATTAACACTAGTGGAGGGTAGGCTCTCTCGTGCCTTTTCCTCATTGTGTCTGGACAAGTGATGTTGGTGCAAGCCATGTATTCAGAGGTTGCTGTGGTTCCTGGAAGACACTGCCAACGTCCGTGTCGTACAGGAGCGTGCGTTTTCATGATTGCGGGTTGCGAACCGCAAGGAACGTGCTGCCATGACGGCAGCACGTTCCTTGCGTGTAGATGCAAGCAAGAAAGTATGCTTGCATCTATTATAATAACCAAGTGTGAGAAATAGTTGCTTCCTAGAGTACAAGTGTATGAACTATGTGAATTAAATTGGAACCCTCTGTCTGTGATCAACCGCTTTTTTTTTCACCGATAATCACCGTTTTTAGCCTCGTCGTGAGACGTTCCATCGAAATACACCGGAGTATTTAAAATAAATGGCCGCAAGCCGGCGCTGCGGTCGCATCTAGCTTGACACTGCATCAGATTCTATGTTACCGCTGCCTTTGCCACGACAGTGGGGGAGTGGGGAGATTTTGTGCCGGCTGATCTCCTAAAGTTCTAAAGATTTCACAATGCAGCCACCTAGGTTCTTGAACTCAGGTCCCGTCCTACCGGCAAAGAGGTAGAGGGGCCGTGACGTATCGGAGTATCATAGACACCTTCATAAGTAAACTCCTGATTAAAATATCTACAATACGTTACCGCTTGCTTTACTCTGTTTCAGACATCAATGAGTGCAGACATAAAAATGGAGGCTGTCAGCATCAGTGCTTCAACACGCTAGGATCGCACGTGTGCATATGCTCCGAAGGATATGAGGTAGATCCCGCAGACAAAAAGAAGTGCAGAGGTAAACAGTGCGCAATAATCATATTTCTATTTTTTTTTTCTCTAATGAATTTTCCATTTTACGGCCGTCTAACTTTATCCGATGACCTACCCTGTTAATCAATTAGAGTGCACGGAACTTGAAGCTTAAAGCGCACTCCGCTTGTTCTCAAGATTGCCATTCTACGCAGACCTTAGTCTTTATTGCACCGGCTTTTCTTTGCTATTACCCTTTCCCTCACTTCACAATGTTCCGCCCCGCGAATCAACGAACGGTCGTGTATAAAACATTTCTTTAAGATTTAGTTTATTGGCCGTATGCGACCGTTCTTTACATAAGACCGTAGTGACAGTCCCAGTGCCTTCCAAAGGCAGCATACATCATTTGTTCTAGACGTCAGAGGATGTTCGTACAACAATGGAAAGGGTCCGTGTCAGGAACTGTGTACTCCTCTGCCTGGCAAAAAACAAAAGTGTTCTTGTTCAAGCCCCGGACTCAAGCTCGCCGAAAACGGGGCGTCGTGTGTCGGTGAGCTCTAATAAATACAGCAGCCCTCGTATTAAAATCATCCTGTGGGTGCCTGAGAACTCACCTTTCTCCAGCCCTGGCATAGTTTTATAGCGTGACTAATGTTTTTTTTCGCTCCAAATTGTAGATATTGACGAATGCAGTGATGGCAACTTCGGATGTTCCCATGTTTGTGAAAACGTTCATGGTTCTGCGTACTGCTTATGCCCGTCAGGACTGAATTTAGCCGATGATAACAAGACTTGTATTGGTTAGTATTACACACTTTCGTTTCAAAGAAAGGTTCTTACCTGTACGATGTTTTACACATTCCTTAAAGGACGCTGAACTGTACACCAAATGTTTGGTCAGCTGAATGCAAAGTGTTCCCGTAGTACCCAAGTTCACTGAAGTAATAAAGAGTGATACAGTTATGCATGTTTTAGAATACAATCTGCCCGAGCAGAGTCATGGGCGACAGACAATGCTTGCTGAATCATGATAGTGGAAAGCCCGTTTTTTTTTTTTATTATAAGCTTCGTAAAGTTCGTTTTACCTCTTACATTAACAGACCTGAGGAGCAGACAATGCCTGCGTGATCGTGATAGCGAAAATCCCAGGTTTTATTTAGAATTCCTCATCAGCGCCATAAATATTGTTTTGCCTCCTGCCTTATCCAACTTACTGATGTCATAGAATGGTTGCATGATAATAATAGCGTAAACGCCAATATTTAGTTAGCACTAACCGCCAACGCCGTAAACCTTTTTGTTTGCGTTCAGATAGAGAAAATAAACAGAGAATATATTACCGCCCCTGTCGAGGCGTCCTAATTATGTCACTGAAATTCGGAAGGGGTTAAAAACATAATTTTAATGCAAAACCTTAACAAAATATTTCGGTAGCGTTAGTTTGAAACGGAGCCGCTAAAAAAGTGTCCAATGTGTATTCTGACAGTAACTCGTGAGGACTATCGATTCCTTACAGCTTTAAATGGGTGCTCGGGCAACGATGGCAAAGGTCCATGTCAGGAGCGTTGCACTCCTTCACCTAACAATGGATACAGCTGCTCTTGCATAAGTCCCGGGACGGAGCTCTCGACCGACGGGGTTTCGTGCGACAGTGAGTGAAGCATGCTTCCAGATCCTTCCCCTTAAAGTCGCATTTCTGCAGCATCGGATACTCTTTGAACATGGTAACCCAGGACCCAAGGAAAAACGGGACGAACAACACAAAACTCCATGCACAGCTGAAGTTGTATTAAGCCGAATCATCCTTAAATGGGCCCACGATCGCGCACCAAATAAAACAAAAATAAAGACGATCCAAGGCTTCTAAGTACCAGAAGAAGGAACAAAGCCGCCTTTTGAGGATGACTTGGCCTTTTAAAATTTCAGCTGTGTTATAGAGTGCAGCTCTTAGGCGCCCGTTTCCGAAATGTGCGGCGTCGGCGTCGGCGTAACCGCGCGTTGAATTATGGGACGTTTCTCTGCTAAATTTAGCGGAAAAAGTTTTCCGCTAAGTTAACGGGGACAATTTCCCGCTAAATTTAGTGGGAAAATTTTATCGCTAAATTTAGCCAAAAAATATTTCCGTATATTTAGCGGAGAAATTTTTCCGCTAAATCTAGCGGAGGAAATATTTCTGCTAGATTTCGCGGGAAATTTTCCTGCTAAATTTAGCGGAAAAATTTATCCGCTATATTTAACGAAAAAATTTTCTCGCTAACTTTATCGGGCTAAGTGTTTTCGCTAAATATAGCGGGGAAAATTAGGTCACGTGACCTGAGCACGAATTCAGTTTCCCCGCTAACTTTAGCGGGGAAAAGGACGCCACGGCCTCGTGTCACGTCACCCATGAACAAATTCAGCGGCAGGAGGAGAGGAGGACGCCCGAAATCAAACTTTCAGCCGTGATATTTGTAAAACTACAGATGATATTGAAAAAAAAAATAAAACCTGACAATTCAGGGACACAGACTGAGCTGAAAACAGTCGTAATCCCAAATGCGGTAAATAATGACCAGAGTTGCCCTTTAAAGGGCAACTCTGGTCATATCAGTGCGCCATATTTTTACCGGACGACGCGGAAACCTCCTTCACCTACGGGGGCGACCCGCGGTGTCGAAAGCGCTCGATATGAGACGTCTTTGGTCCTGGTAAGAGCCGCCAAAAACTTTGTTCCTCGTCAGAGCCGCCAAAAACTTAATTTTTGTCGAAATACAAACTATAAGTGGCGCCGAGCCGTTTCAATTATTTATAAAAGTGGGTTTTGTTCGGAGTTTTAGATCAGAAAAGAAACAAATGCAGTTTATAAAGCACGGAAACAAGAAATGACCCGTTGATATACCCGCCACCAAGCGGTGGAAAAGGCGCCGCATACTATAAAGGTATAGTGGTATCACGCACCGACGACCGGCGAGCGTAGCAAGGTACGCGGCGGCGCTGAAGTCGAGGATTCGACCGGTTCCGAGCGTTCCGAAGGCCTTCGGCGAGCAGCTTTGGTTTGCGGTTTGGCCCTTCGGCGGCATGGCAGCGCGAAGTGGCTCCCGTTCTGAACTGATTTTTACGCCGTGTTTGCTGTCGTTTGTGGCCAATGAAGTGTCATGCCGAATTAGTGTTTAATCGCGCAACAAATGCAATGCGAGCCGCCCTGCAGCTGCCCGCTTCATACAGCCTAGCCAGAACATGCTTTAGAGGCGCCCTCTCGAGCCATCGATACGGAGTGCGGCAGCCGTGAGCGCTCGCTGAGCTCACTACCCCTTCTCTAGTTCAGTGCCACTCAAGCGACCAAAGGCGTCATGAAGGAGGTTTATTTGTTCATGTTTTTGACATTTTAGTTTGCCTACAACTTTTAAAATAAAGATAAATTCAAGAAACGAAAAGTTTCATTAAGTTACTACGTTCATTGCGCTCAGGTTCTGTGCAAATTAGAAACAAGTAAAAGAAGTCCATGCAGGGCCCCTTTAAGGGGAAGCGAAGTGTAGCAGGCGTTCGGAATCATTAGAAATATATGGCTGGCCAACTCGCACTTGGAAATGTAGGCTGCTCAATATAGATTCATATCGTTTTCTTCTTTTTTGCTACTGCCCCTTGGCAGCAGATATCAGGAAACTGCTGGTTGTGCCATGAGTGCAACGCTCCACTCAAGAGAGAGAGAGAAAATTGTCGGTATCATTGGATAAACAGTCGCCGCGACTTCTGGCTGTCTTCATTTTTATTTTCATTTCTTTTCCAGAGTTGTCTGTTGTACCCGAGGACACGTATGAGTATATCTGGCCGTCAAACTCAACTGGCTTTTCAAACAGCAGCGATGGGATTGATGATATCGAGGGTTCTGGGATGGAGAAGGAGACACCGTCCAAAAGCAAAGACGCGGATCGCGTCACGCCGGAATGTCCGATAGGATTTGCTCCAGTCAACGGCACATGCGAAGGTATTATAACCAAACTAATACGCAGTGCCAAATAGGTAATTTTAATAGAATTTAGCCAGATAAAAACTCGTACAATTCGCAGTGTAATTAAGTAATTCATTACTTATAATCAGGGGTGTGTGGAGATTGCTCAGAATGGTATAGCGCCGCGGCATTGCTAGCTTCAGCGCTGTAAAGAAAGCCAGTGTGTAGTTGTTGTCTTAAACACGTCGAAGACTATGATGATGCATCGGTATTTAATTCAAAGCACTATTTCCACAGCCCTACTTAAGTTTATTTTATTTATTGCAAAGACAATTGCATGACGTTAAAACTAAGCTCACTTTTCAATAAGCCAATCTGACCTTTCCTAATAAAATAAGTCTTAGAGTGCGGAAAAACGTTTATTTGGTGTGGAAAAACAATGCAGCATGCACAGCACTTTAATGACTTAAGTCATCGAAATTCAATGGTGGTGTTTGATGAAAATTAAGAGTATTCAAATCCATTTTGGCAGGACCTATCCTTAAATTGTGTCCACATGTCAGTCGGGTATGTGAAATCTCATCTTATATGCTGCGGAGCCCTTTCTCAGGATATCCCTTCGTTTTCAAAAAGAGTATCACCAGCCGATTTTTGGACAAAAATTGTTCTAGCCAGGAGCTTGTGTTCCTTCTAGGAATAAGTATTAAGAGTCGTTCCTCTTCGTTTCAGCATTGGCGTGAAAAAAAAAAAAAACGGATGCCGCTTAATGGTCGACTTCGTAGCAACTCCACATTTCTTAACGTTTATGATAAACTTGAGTATAAAGCTATTTTCATACCAGTGCCTTAAAAAAATTAAAATTAAGACGACAGCAGAAGCATCCTACAACGCTTCACCCTCATATATTCACCAGTGTCGAACATACATTGACGTGTTTCAAGCTCCTGCCTTCTTGCGTTGCGAACATCACAGATATCAACGAATGCTCCTCCGGGACCAGCAACTTGTGTGCCCACATCTGCAACAAGACCATTGGAAGTTTTCGCTGTAGCTGCAGGGAAGGATACACGTTGAGCGAGACTGGGACCGGCTGTGAAGGCAAGTAAATAGCACAGTTGTTCATCACTTTTGAAAGTTTACAAGTTCCAAATCATTTCTAGGACTCCCTTTGGCCACCTTAAAATGGTGGCATTGCGACGACCTTCTGCTGTCTTTTGACATCAGTACCCTATTCAAGCTACTTCATTCATTGCACCTTAAAACAAAGCACTGGCCCGGAATATAGAAATATATTTTACATTATAGTATCAATATCTATGTATTGAAGTTTTTTACGCTATTTTTAAATCATCGTGCTTTTGTTCTTTGTACATGGCAAGTTTCCATGAAACCGAGCATCCACGTATGCTGCGATCGACTGTCTTTGACCGGTTAGGACCAAGGGAACATTTATAATGTGTTCTCGGCACCTATTGTGAACCAGAACACAAATTAGTTGTTAGGAGACTCTAAAATATACTGCAGTAAACAATGGTACTCGATGTCGCCGTCATTCTAACCATATTCGCTTGCCTCTACTTTCATAATATCAAGTAAACTTATTAAAAATGAGATTCGGATTGCGAGAGCCGATCTTTGTTTCATTTCAAATTTTAAGTTTTTTTTTCCTTTGCTTTTATATAAGACATCGACGAGTGCTCCTCGCATTCGACTCATCCCTGCTCGAACATCTGCAAAAATACCCAAGGTAGCTACTACTGCGCATGCTTCCAGGGATACAAACTGGACGGAACTAGAAGAAATTGCGTAGGTGAGTTGAACTTTCTCCAAATTTCTAGGAAACACCACAGTTATCCCGAACGTGTAATCACAAATATGTCTGAATTTTTTGCGCTGGACCGAAATATTCCTATCGAAACTCAGTGGTATAAAATATCACCAAAAGGGGGGGGGGGGGGGGGGGGGTACTTTATTTTGAGTACACATCTCGGTCTTCCGCAATAAAGTGTAAGGGTAAACTACGACAGCAATCCGCCAATGTCGTCCTCTTGCTAAATACAGCTACATACATTTGCATTTGCCTATGCACGAGTGTGTTTTGATTTCTTAAAACCGCTTAAGAGACTAGCACAGTGGCACCATCTATCGAGTGGCCGTAGAACGCTTCTGTCTTAAGTGTATATGTTTTTTTTTTCTTGTTTTTTTTGTGCGTATTTTTTTACCGTGGGCCTGACATAATTCTTACAATATTATAAGCGACTATTTCAAACAGAGTGCGTAAAGTTGATCTCGGTGGTTACGAAAGATCATGACATGTTCGGCACAGTAAACCTGTATCAAAGAAAATACATCGAGAAAGAGATAACGAAAGACTTTTTCTTGCCTCCCGCAATGCACAGATATTGACGAGTGCTCGATGGGCCGGCATGGCTGCGGGGATGTATGCGAAAACGTTGACGGAAGTTACAGGTGCAAGTGTCATCCAGGACGGATTTCGCTCGGTGGAGGGCGTTGTCAAGGTACCATCCATTTCATGCGCAATTAAACTCAGACGGTTTGTGTTCATTGGGGACGCAGATATGTTTCTAAGATATCTGTCCCGCTTTGAAAGAACATAATTTGAGATTAAGTAGATACGAAATCTTTTACATCCATAGTCACAGGGTCTACCGCAAAAACTGTAGGCATATTACTCGTATTTTATGCAGGCCTGTAAGCCTGCATATAGTAAATAAAAGATAGTTTACCAACTTTTTTAAAGCCGATATTACGTTACAAAGGAACAAAATAATAACTGAGACATTGGTAGATTGCGGTATTTTTAACGCGAAAGCATAACTATCCCATGGAGCGAAGCCAGCGGTGTCTGTAACCGCAAAAAACGAGCCATAATCTCTTATTTTCCCATTGGCTGAGCGAAACGGACCCTAAAATCCCATTGGCTGCGACGCGTCATAGTACCAAGGAACGCCACCCCACAGAAAAGCCCTCTCCTGGCGCTGCGGCTCGCGCGCCGGTAAAAGAGAGGGTGGCGCGCGTGCGACCGCCACTCTCTCCCCCCTCTAGGGTCACGTGTCACGCGTGGTAGGAGGGGGAGGGGTAGCGGGAATTTCCCTCTCCCTCTTCCTGTGCACTACTGTATCACGAGTTCTGCAGCGCTGCTTGTGGAGCACTAACAATCAGAGCTGTACGCAGCTCTTACAAGCACGCAGCAAGATGCTTGTAGGGATACTTTCGCACTCCTACATGTAAGCAGTCTTAAGTGTCATCCTCTAATTTTTATACCTACATTTGGACGAAGTTGCATTGCAGAAGAAAAACTGTAGTGGAAACATTTTCTTGAATTATTCGAGAAACAAACATTTACAGACATTGCTCGAGGTAAATCATGATTAATGTGCTGAACCTCAAGGCGAGATTATATTGGTTTTCATTAAATATTTAATTTTTTTTATGGAAAGTAGCGCAACAGTGGGAGGTACTAAAAAATGTGCAGCGGTTCTGTCACGAATGTGCAATTTAGGTTGTTTTTTTCCTAAAACTTACCTAAACTATTTGTTAAAAAAAAATTAATTGGTTTCAGTGATTATGCGGCAATTTATTAACACCAATACCTCTACGTTTCGGTACTCATCTTGGCATCGTGCAGAAAATGTCATGGTAACTAAGAAAACCCGATTTCTCCTCGCTTTTTCCTCACACCGTTAGCAATTGGCAATGATCGCGTAACTACAATAAAAATGTAAGCCCGGTACTTTCTGCAGTTAGATTTATGAACACTTTTGCGAACACCAACTCAACTCGCACCTACCTAGATTTACATAATGTCCCTGCTCTTAAACTCTAATGCAGAAGACGTCTTAGTAACACACTCCCCTCTGCAATGCCCTCGGGTCCTGCGGGTTGTGAAATAAATAATCGCTCACAGTTTCTGGCTTCAGTCATATTCGGAGTCAAAAACGGCGTGCTATGTGCATCTCCATGTTCAATTCTTCCTCTTTCTTCGAAGACTGTCAAAAAAACACGTTCAAGGATCCAAAGGGAGAGGCTTGCGTACGATGCCCACCCAATACCCACACGATTGCTTCAAGAGCCGCTTCTGTCGACGACTGCGTGTGCGACGGCGGCTTCCGGAAATCATCGAACAGTGGACAAGGCTGGGAAGGTAACCTACTTCGCCTCGTTCTCTGTTCAGCAATGCACATCACTACAATTAGTTTCCCCGTAACTTGGTAAAGAGCAAACGTTAAGGCCCTCTCAAGCCAATCAGGGCGACGGAAGCAAAGCACGTTTCATCACTTCCCTTAGGTATAGGGAGAGAGCGCAACCCGTGCAGTCGGATAATAAGGGAAGCGGGAACTCTTCCCTTATACCCTTATACCCGGGTCTCAAAACAGGCGGCCCGCGTGCATCCGGTGGCTGTGAGCTCCGTTTCTATGCCTCGAGCACTACATTCGCCTAAAATAAGCTTAATATCGGGAATTCATTTTTGCATGAAATGAAGCTCTGCTCATACAACGTGTTCAGACATTTTGCTTTTTTTTTTTTGTTTAACTGAGTACTAGTGCTTCGTCTAAATATTTTATTATCAGCCCTTTTTCAAATAAACCGACCGGCACAGCGATACAACGACTTGTCGTTGATGTTGGCGTTTATTACGTGCCCAAAAACACCTTAAAGCTTTACACATTGGTGCATTACAAATGTCACTTACACGTATAAAAAATATTTAAAAAAATACATGCAACGATGTCAAGCGCGTAAAAGCCCATCGGAGGGCCTAAGTCGTACTAAATCATATTACAGGTACCTTCCACCGTTCAGGGGTAAAATAAGACATGGAAAAAAGATCGTGCTGAAAATGGCTGTTGCTAGAGGCCTAATTTTGATATAAGGGTGATCCCTTAAATATCTTCTCGGGATGAAACGTTACGCACTGTCGCGCGAATATAGCTGGGATGCGTAGTTGCATGCTGCCTAAAATATCCGGTACATCAGTATGACCTTGGATGAGTTTATGTATCAACACTACATCTCGGCGATTTCTACGGCAACCTAAGGTGCTGGGGCTCAAATTCCTAGCAAGACAATGGTATTCGAAGTTTTAGCCTCCTCGGAAAATGCCTGTCATAGACTATGCAAACTAAACGCATTTGTACCGCTTCAGTACGCTCACATTCACTTTCCAGTAAGTTGTTCCACACGGCAGAAGCCAATTCAAGATGGGGCCCAACCAATGCCCAAAATAGACGTGACATAGCATCAAGTGCTTCCAAGTACCGAGTCATACGCGCAATCGTGTGACACAATTTAAAACGTACAACAAATATGTGTGTCACGAGATTTGAACATGAGTTAGCAATCGACTAACTCACCAAGGTCCCTGATCACATCACCTCGAGCACCATTACTGTTTTCCAACCTGTACTTAAAATGTAAGGGATATCTACGCCTTGAAAGCGAGATAACGTCAGTGTTGTTCGCGTTCAGAGGCAGTATGTTCTTCGAGCACCACTTTGAATCATTCAAAATTTGAGACTGCAGCGCTTCGTAGTCTGTTTCGAAAAAAATATGACAGAAGAACTTTATGTCATCAGCAAAATACGAACACCTTAGTAAATTTTATACAGTTTCAAACTTAATTTATACATATGAGGAACAACAACGGACCCAATACTAAGCTAGAAGCGCGAGCTTTTTGCTCAACCTCGGCTGCACGAAGTCTCGCTCAGCAGCAGCATCTGCTAACGGTAAAGCTTTGCGCTCGGGCTTCTTGCTCTCAAACAATACCTTTAAAATACAAGTATTTTATTACAATGCTGCAAAACAAAATTCTCAGGAAAGCAAAAACTGCCGTATGAAGATTTTTTTTTCTTTATGCCTGTTGAGCTATAGTAATTTGTACGACAGGGCAAGGACCAGTGCGCTTGCTCTCCTCCTATTAAAAACTGCCAGTGCTGTAATGTGGTGTTTTTTTAAATATTCTTATAACATCAAGTGCTCAAATGAAAGTTAAAGATGTCAAAACGCTGAGCTTACGAAAAGCAGAGAGCGCAAAGTTCCTTCCTTAGAAAATTTTTGGGATGTCCCTAGGAAGTCGGCTTCTTTCCAACGTGAAACATTTAACTGCTGTGGGGAATCTTGCCCACATACTCGAAGGCGTTTGAGACCCCTGCCCTAGAACACTAACCTGGTACTCAAAATTTGTACAACATCGGCCTTCCTCGTCGTCCTTCCAGTGGCTTTGATAGCACTGCGCGCATCTACTAAGATAGAATATAGTCACGTGACTTCCTTTCACACGCTGATTGGCTGACTGAGACCGTGACCTTTGCCGTATGCCATGTTACGTACGGCGAGACGGATTCTAGTCATAATGGACCTCCATTATCGATTGGAAGCCAGGTAGGTCACTTCCTCGATTTTTGGTTCGTACAGTCACCGCCTGGTGTCGTCGGTATGTGGAAAAGGTCCATTATTCATAGTAACCGCTAGGCATATGCGCAATTCGCCAGGGAATTCTTCAGGGTCTAGTCATTTACTACCTCGTTATTTAGTGTACGATTCTGACTTTTGTGATCAGCTGTCGTTTGTTCACCTTGTTGTGCGTTAGTACAGCTACAAAAGTAGTTGGTATTATAATCGCTAGACAAAAAGTTTAAACTACTCGCTAGATGGCGCAACTCGGCGCCCGAATCAAAAGCTAAAGTGATATTCATTCATTCATTCATTTAAGCACAAATGTTGGAAGGTGGTGCCTTGTTCGTCTCGGAGTTCCTTCTTTTCTTTTTTGTGTGTACTTTTTTTTTTTTTTTGCAGTTGCAGTTTTTTTGTTTTTTTTTAAGCGACACATTTTAAAGCCTTATTCGCCCGCAGATATAAACGAGTGCGATGAAAAAATCCTCAACTGTTCCCACGAGTGCGTGAACACAAATGGAAGTGCGTACTGTGGTTGTCCCTTCGGCCTAAAGTTGTCAGATGATGGCTTCACATGCCGAGGTAAGTACGAAGAAAAAAACTCTGCTGAATATGTTATGGTGTGTCGGAACAGGTGCGGTGCGGTGTATTCATCTGGCTGCGGTAAATTACATAAAAATATATAATTTTCGTTAACGCTTTTACTTGCATCCATACACTGTGAATCTACTGTTCACTGTGAATTATTACGAAAAACTATTCTCTCTATGATAACCTGTTTCTTTCATATCTATTTAGGTCTATACTACGGTGTCTTAGGAAGTGCTCCCTTTTCAGTGTATCTTAAGGACAGCGCAAAATCCAAACCTTTTTATATTTTACTGTAGCTTGTTATCAATACTGTAGAAAGTACAACACAAAACTTAGGTCAGTCAGCAGCCCTGCTTACGCACTTTTTGTACTAGCGATTTCTTATGATCCATGACTGTCTGTACTTGGTCTGAAAGAAACAGAGCTCGCTTTTGGTTGGGGCTGTTAACTGCGTTAACAAAAATACATTGGTGATAGAAAGCCCGTCTGGTTTCTTGGGTCTCATTCTTTCTGTCCTCTTAAATCTTAAATATTTTACCTAAGTTCGTACTAAGCGTAGCCGAACCAGTTTCATCCAAGGAGCCCTTTTAAAAAATGTGCGCCCTCAATTAGCTGCGGCGTCGATTCTGTGAGGCCGCCATATTTCGGTCATTCACTTTTAGCATGCATGGGACAAGAGGGCCGTTTCAGCGCAAGGCGTAAATTCGGATCCAATCACGCATTTCACGTAGGGAGCGATGCCAATGGATGGAGGGATGGATGTTAATGGCTGTACCCTTTTTAACGGGCGGTAGCTTGCGCCACCTAGCCTAAGTCTTAAAGGACCCCAAAACATGGTGACCACCAGTGTTGCTTGATGTACCTTTGGAAAAGGTCGATTTACCATATGCTCGACTGTGAATTCATCACTCAAACCCACTTGCTGACTGCAGACGTCGACGAATGCACCGAGACGCCGCATGTATGCAACCAGATCTGCTCGAATACGATCGGAAGCTACGATTGTTTTTGCAAAGCCGGGTACACTCTCTCCCTCCATGAAAACTTCACGTGCGAAGGTAAAAACTAAAAAGAGTTTTTATTTATTTTAACGAAACATTTATGGGTGTGTTCTTGCCATTCTTTTCTCAAATTGTAATTAAAAACAAAATTTAACGTCACTCTTGGCTCTGGAGTCCGAACGTAACATCATGGTTGACGTCCCGTACCACAGTCACGTGACCTGACGCCTCATAACTCCTTTAAACGAAGAACTCGTTCAAGCGAAATAGTCGCGAGCTTGAGTATTTTCTTATAATAAATACTGTTTCTTACCTCACCTGCCACAATTTGTCGCCTTGAACGTTATGGTATACTATCTACTAAAAAAGGTGCCGACCATAATTCGTAAATTGTATTCCATTCCGGAGTACCCTTGACGTATTCTTCCAAATACGAATCAGTGCTCTTGCCTAAATCGTTTAGTGAATTTGTGATTGATCTTTGTTTTAAACTTTTTTTCCCAATCGTGGGATGCACATGGGTGACTTTGTTATTTTACTTGTTCTCATCTCTTCTGTCTATTATTTGTGTCGTTTCTAGAGCTACACTTGATATTATTTGGAACCTATTTTTTTTCATTTGCTGTAGCAGGCACCATACTTATGAAATTTGATTTATGCCCAAATGGATCTTTTCTTTTCAGATGTGAATGAGTGCACTCAGGGTACCCACAATTGCAGTCATATCTGCACCAACTACGATGGTGGTTATTACTGCGAATGTCCACTGGGATACGAAATGACCGGGGACCAGAGATCATGCGCAGGTGCGTGAAGCGAAATATGCAAGCTCATTCGAGCAGATAGATGTCTCCTGGCGTTCACTATTCTGAAGAACCACATCGCTCAGAGATCGGAGCACAGAAGCGTTGTAGCGTTCAGCCATTTCTTTTTTTTTTTTTCGGGTGTTACCCCCGAAAACGGGTGTTACCCGACGTGACCCCCAGGTCACGCCTCCCCGAGGTCACGTGGCCCCCTCCCCGAAGTCACGTGACACCCCCCCCCCCCCCCGAGGTCACGTGACACCCCCCCTCCCGGAGCATATTAAAGAATGAGGGGAGGAGGAGGAGAAGGAGGAGGGGTCTACCCTCCCTTCAGTACCCTTCACTCCTCCTCCTCAAGAGCTGCGCTCCAATTCGGCGTTACAGGGAGTTGTAAACGGCTTTCACTTTTTTTTTTGAGGGTGCACCTCGTATTCAGCAAATGCAAAAAGAGAAAACAAATATTAATTTTGACTATTTAGAAATAATATGCATGGAAATGAACGCGACCGATTAATCGACTAAAGGGTGGGGATTAATCGGGTTAAAACTTTTAATCGACGCCCAGAGCCCTAGAGGTAATCTAGTAAGGTTAAGCGAATCCTAGTCATGACGTCAAGAACAGGAACCGTACGAGGGCGCAACCCAAACATCTCTGCCCCTATAGCGCTGTTCACGAGAAAGCCGCAGAACGGCGCAACGCTTTCGTCTTCTCCGTTCACTTATGCCTAGGGTGTGCATTCTCCGGTTTTAACCGAAAAACACGGATAAACATCCGTCGGTGACGAAAATATAAAATCGGTTAAAACCGAAAAACACCGGTGGTTGGATATTTTCGCCCTGATTAAAACCGAAAAAAACCGGTCGTTGCTAGTTTCCGATTTAGCGAAACCCTTTCCCCCTAGAGGTTCGTCAAACGTGTTATCTCGTGGATCCTGCATTCTTCCAGTGTTTATACATGGCTTGCAGGTGACGCCAGTCTGCCTTCCTCTCTGGGAATCAAAAGCGTCTAGTGAAAGCAGTGGAAGCTCAGCTCTCATACGCCTTTCCCCTATTGTGTCTCCCATGGCCCCCTTTTGTGGAAAAATTAACACTAGTGGAGGGTAGGCTCTCTCGTGCCTTTTCCTCATTGTGTCTGGACAAGTGATGTTGGTGCAAGCCATGTATTCAGAGGTTGCTGTGGTTCCTGGAAGACACTGCCAACGTCCGTGTCGTACAGGAGCGTGCGTTTTCATGATTGCGGGTTGCGAACCGCAAGGAACGTGCTGCCATGACGGCAGCACGTTCCTTGCGTGTAGATGCAAGCAAGAAAGTATGCTTGCATCTATTATAATAACCAAGTGTGAGAAATAGTTGCTTCCTAGAGTACAAGTGTATGAACTATGTGAATTAAATTGGAACCCTCTGTCTGTGATCAACCGCTTTTTTTTTCACCGATAATCACCGTTTTTAGCCTCGTCGTGAGACGTTCCATCGAAATACACCGGAGTTTTTAAAATAAATGGCCGCAAGCCGGCGCTGCGGTCGCATCTAGCTTGACACTGCATCAGATTCTATGTTACCGCTGCCTTTGCCACGACAGTGGGGGAGTGGGGAGATTTTGTGCCGGCTGATCTCCTAAAGTTCTAAAGATTTCACAATGCAGCCACCTAGGTTCTTGAACTCAGGTCCCGTCCTACCGGCAAAGAGGTAGAGGGGCCGTGACGTATCGGAGTATCATAGACACCTTCATAAGTAAACTCCTGATTAAAATATCTACAATACGTTACCGCTTGCTTTACTCTGTTTCAGACATCAATGAGTGCAGACATAAAAATGGAGGCTGTCAGCATCAGTGCTTCAACACGCTAGGATCGCACGTGTGCATATGCTCCGAAGGATATGAGGTAGATCCCGCAGACAAAAAGAAGTGCAGAGGTAAACAGTGCGCAATAATCATATTTCTATTTTTTTTTCTCTAATGAATTTTCCATTTTACGGCCGTCTAACTTTATCCGATGACCTACCCTGTTAATCAATTAGAGTGCACGGAACTTGAAGCTTAAAGCGCACTCCGCTTGTTCTCAAGATTGCCATTCTACGCAGACCTTAGTCTTTATTGCACCGGCTTTTCTTTGCTTTTACCCTTTCCCTCACTTCACAATGTTCCGCCCCGCGAATCAACGAACGGTCGTGTATAAAACATTTCTTTAAGATTTAGTTTATTGGCTGTATGCGACCGTTCTTTACATAAGACCGTGGTGACAGTCCCAGTGCCTTCCAAAGGCAGCATACATCATTTGTTCTAGACGTCAGAGGATGCTCGTACAACAATGGAAAGGGTCCGTGTCAGGAACAGTGTACTGCTCTGCCTGGCAACAAACAAAAGTGTTCTTGTTCAAGCCCCGGACTCAAGCTCGCCGAAAACGGGGCGTCGTGTGTCGGTGAGCTCTAATAAATACAGCAGCCCTCGTATTAAAATCATCCTGTGGGTGTCTGAGAACTCACCTTTCTCCAGCCCTGGCATAGTTTTATAGCGTGACTAATGTTTTTTTTCGCTCCAAATTGTAGATATTGACGAATGCAGTGATGGCAACTTCGGATGTTCCCATGTTTGTGAAAACGTTCATGGTTCTGCGTACTGCTTATGCCCGTCAGGACTGAATTTAGCCGATGATAACAAGACTTGTATTGGTTAGTATTACACACTTACGTTTCAAAGAAAGGTTCTTACCTGTACGATGTTCTACACATTCCTTAAAGGACGCTGAACTGTACACCAAATGTTTGGTCAGCTGAATGCAAAGTGTTCCCGTAGTACCCAAGTTCACTGAAGTAATAAAGAGTGATACAGTTATACATGTTAAGCAATAATGCAAAGTACTACCACATTTTTCACTGATATCAGAGATAGGTTCGGATGAAATTGCCGGCCTTCTGCATTTTATTTCTTTTCCTCCCAATCATATCAAACTTTAAAATAGTTGGCTTATTGTTTAAACCGTGATGTTCTTGTGATTGGCCGGAAAATAACTTTCTTGGTCTCGTCAGTACCCTTCAAAAACATTTGCTGGATTTTGGCTGCCTGATGGGAGCAGATGCTGTATACGGAAAATGTATTGTAGATTATATAAAGCAGGAGTGGCTAAACTGCTGCTGGCGAGCTTCATGCGGTTCTTCGGGGGCCTATGTCTGGCTTGCTACTCGCTCATAACCTCCCCCCTCCCCCCCCCCCCTTTAAAAAAATTAAAATGAAGTATAGAAAGAAAATGTACGTGCATTGGGCACATGGCTTTATGAGTTGTATTCGCCATGGCCACCAATTGAGAGGAAAAGCAATTTTAAGAAGTGCCACTTCCCCTTTTTTATTATTGCTCTTCATTTAACATGGTTCCTTGAATGACGTTTTGAATATGTCCGTCTGACCACCTCTTATCTATATACTGATAGCCATAGATCGTTCGAAAAGACAGCCTTTTTTTCAGATATGTATTATTTTCGTGGTTACGTGTAATGACGAGACCCTCCGAATTACAGTTTGCGTTGCTTGTAGCAACGCAAACTGTAAACCTTGGTATGAGCATTCTGTTGATAGTCGTTGTGTGTTCGCGTTTTCTCAGATGCGAAGGTGACACAGAGACCCTCAAATCCCTGCAACGTTAACAACGGAGGCTGTTCCCACAACTGCGCATGGAATGGTCGCAAAGTTATATGTTCTTGTCCTTCAGGATTCTATCACTACAAAAAAATATGCTTAGGTAAGCAGAGTAAACTAGAATAAAAAAAATAAGGCAGTATTGTAACACAGAATGTGTGATATGGTTGGGTTCTAACCGTTTCCGGCTCTCACTCCAGCGACGGAAAAGAATAACGCGAGTGCCAATCATACGATGATGCAGCTCTCGTCTCCTCACTGGATCTACACGAGTGCCAGCCGAACGTCTTGCTCGACTAGAGTGTATCCGAGTTACTCCCGCGGCTCGCATCACGTGATCGAACATAGAGTAGCGCATGCCACGCGCTGTATACTCCAGCACGGACTAAACGAGCAAGCTCCGGGATTTTGCTAAGCGCGCGCTCTCTTTGGCGCGTGGTCGGCTTGCCACAACTGGCCAAACGCAACGTATGACGTCTCAAGCGGAATTAACTCTGCCTTCATCCACGTAAATGAGAGCGATGTCATACTATCGACTTTGACGGCGGTTGTGAACGTGATGAGCCCAAGCTCGCACCGTGCATTTTTGCGCGCGCACACCATCCAACTTACCTTCGCAGCTGGTGATAAGTAGCCAGGATCACAACTGGTGACGTCACGGCGATACAAAGAGCTCAGTTGTAGAACTCCCGCAGAGGGCGCTACTCCGCTCACCCCGTCAATCGTCCGCTTGGGAGACAGGGGTGGGCAACCTACGTGTTTACGTTTCGGTGCCGAAATGGCCGATCAAAGCCAAAATTGAACAGTAGCAGGGAACGCTACCGTATACGATGCTCTGGCTACTGCGAGAAGGCGCCACCTGTTCATTGAACGAATACGTGCAGCCTTGGAGTTGGCTGAGTGGTCGCTGCGGGATACATGGCGGCGACGCGATGGCGTTTTGTTTCGTTCTTGAATACTGAGCGGGGCCAGTTTTTGTATGCAGGCTTTAATGGGCAGCTTCCGCAGTTTCCCAATCAGTATTATTTATGGTATACGTTGAGGCAGCCCCAGAAAGGGTGTAAGCTGGTTGACTGTTATTGCCCTTTAGAAGAGGTGAATTTACACCCTTACAGCATGCGCTGCCACTCTTTAAAAGGGTAAAACCTTCGAACCAAATGTATGCTCTGTTGCCTCTTAATGGAAGTAAAATTACGCCCTTAAAGGCTATTGCACCCCATTAGGGATAAGGTTGTCCCCCAAGGAGCATAGGTGCACCCTGACATAGGGTGTAAAAATTGCTCCCAAGCGGAAAGGGTAACTTTGTTAACGTTTCGAGATGAACCCCAGGGACAAGCAAGTTACTCTAAAAGTTGTGACAACTGTAACCTTTTTTTTAAGAGTGCACCTCGTATTCAGCAAATGCAAAAACAGAAAACAAATATTAATTTTGACTATTTAGAAATAATATGCATGGAAATGAACGCGACCGATTAATCGACTCAAGGGTGGGGATTAATCGGGTTAAAACTTTTAATCGACGCCCAGAGCCCTAGAGGTAATCTAGTAAGGTTAAGCGAATCCTAGTCATGACGTCAAGAACAGGAACCGTACGAGGGCGCAACCCAAACATCTCTGCCCCTGTAGCGCTGTTCACGAGAAAGCCGCAGGGCGGCGCAACGCTTTCGTCTTCTCCGTTCACTTGTGCTATCCCTCGTCACCGGAGCTCTGGTCCCGGAGTGGCCGCAAGCCGGCGCTGCGGTCGCATCTTGCTCGACACTGCATCAGATTCTATGTTACCGCTGCCTCTGCCACGACAGTGGGGGAGTGGTTCGAATTTGTGCCGGCTGATCTCCTAAAGTTCTAAAGATTTCACAATGCAGCCACCTAGGTTCTTGAACTCAGGTCCCGTCCTACCGGCAAAGAGGTAGAGGGGCCGTGACGTATCGAAGTATCATAGACACCTTCATAAGTAAACTCCCTAATAAAATATCTACAATACGTCACCGCTTGCTTTACTCTGTTTCAGACATCAATGAGTGCAGAAACAAAAATGGAGGCTGTCAGCATCAGTGCTTCAACACGCTAGGATCGCACGTGTGCATATGCTCCGAAGGATATGAGGTAGATCCCGCAGACAAAAAGAAGTGCAGAGGTAAACAGTGCGCAGTAATCATATTTCTATTTTTTTTTTCTCTAATAAGTTTGCCATTTTACGGACGTCTAACTTTATCCGATGACCTACCCTGTTAATCAAGTAGAGTGCACGGAACTTGAAGCTTAAAGCGCACTCCGCTTGTTCTCAAGATTGCCATTCTACGCAGACCTTAGTCTTTATTGCACCGGCTTTTCTTTGCTTTTACCCTTTCCCTCACTTCACAATGTTCCGCCCCGCGAATCAACGGACGGTCGTGTATAAAACATTTCTTTAAGATTTAGTTTATCGGCTGTATGCGACCATTCTTTACATAAGACCGTGGTGACAGTCCCAGTGCCTTCCAAATGCAGCATACATCATTTGTTCTAGACGTCAGAGGATGTTCGTACAACAATGGAAAGGGTCCGTGTCAGGAACAGTGTACTCCTCTGCCTGGCAAAAAACAAAAGTGTTCTTGTTCAAGCCCCGGACTCAAGCTCGCCGAAAACGGGGCGTCGTGTGTCGGTGAGCTCTAATAAATACAGCAGCCCTCGTATTAAAATCATCCTGTGGGTGTCTGAAAACTCACCTTTCTCCAGCCCTGGCATAGTTTTGTAGCGTGACTAATGTTTTTTTTTCGCTCCAAATTGTAGATATTGACGAATGCAGTGATGGCAACTTCGGATGTTCCCATGTTTGTGAAAACGTTCATGGTTCTGCGTACTGCTTATGCCCGTCAGGACTGAATTTAGCCGATGATAACAAGACTTGTATTGGTTAGTATTACACACTTTCGTTTCAAAGAAAGGTTCTTACCTGTACGATGTTTTACACATTCTTTAAAGGACGCTGAACTGTACACCAAATGTTTGGTCAGCTGAATGCAAAGTGTTCCCGTAGCACCCAAGTTCACTGAAGTAATAAAGAGTGATACAGTTATGCATGTTTTAGAATACAATCTGCCCGAGCAGAGTCATGGGCGACAGACAATGCTTGCTGAATCATGATAGTGGAAAGCCCGTTTTTTTTTTTTTTGTTATAAGCTTCGTAAAGTTCGTTTTACCTCTTACATTAACAGACCTGAGTAGCAGACAATGCCTGCGTGATCGTGATAGCGAAAATCCCAGGTTTTATTTAGAACTCCTCATCAGCGCCATAAACATTGTTTTGCCTCCTGCCTTATCCAACTTACTGATGTCATAGAATGGTTGCATGATAATAATAGCTTAAACGCCAATATTTAGTTAGCACTAACCGCCAACGCCGTAAACCTTTTTGTTTGCGTTCAGATAGAGAAAATAAACAGAGAATATATTACCGCCCCTGTCGAGGCGTCCTAATTATGTCACTGAAATTCGGAAGGGGTTAAAAACATAATTTTAATGCAAAACCTTAACAAAATATTTCGGTAGCGTTAGTTTGAAACGGAGCCGCTAAAAAAGTGTCCAATGTGTATTCTGACAGTAACTCGTGAGGACTATCGATTCCTTACAGCTTTAAATGGGTGCTCGGGCAACGATGGCAAAGGTCCATGTCAGGAGCGTTGCACTCCTTCACCTAACAATGGATACAGCTGCTCTTGCATAAGTCCCGGGACAGAGCTCTCGACCGACGGGGTTTCGTGCGACAGTGAGTGAAGCATGCTTCCAGATCCTTCCCCTTAAAGTCGCATTTCTGCAGCAACGGATACTCTTTGAACATGGTAACCCAGGACCCAAGGAAAAACGGGACGAACAACACAAAACTCCATGCACAGCTGAAGTTGTATTAAGCCGAATCATCCTTAAATGGGCCCATGATCGCACACCAAATAAAACAAAAATAAAGACGATCCAAGGCTTCTAAGTACCAGAAGAAGGAACAAAGCCGCCTTTTGAGGATGACTTGGCCTTTTAAAATTTCAGCTCTGTTATAGAGTGCAGCTCTTAGGCGCCCGTTTCCGAAATGTGCGGCGTCGGCGTCGGCGTAACCGCGCGTTGAATTATGGGACGTTTCTCTGCTAAATTTAGCGGAAAAAGTTTTCCGCTAAGTTAACCGGGACAATTTCCCGCTAAATTTAGTGGGAAAATTTTATCGCTAAATTTAGCCAAAAAATATTTCCGCTATATTTAGCGGAGAAATTTTTCCGCTAAATCTAGCGGAGGAAATGTTTCTGCTAGATTTCGCGGGAAATTTTCCTGCTAAATTTAGCGGAAAAATTTATCCGCTATATTTAACAAAAAAATTTTCTCGCTAACTTTATCGGGCTAAGTGTTTTCGCTAAATATAGCGGGGAAAATTAGGTCACGTGACCTGAGCACCAATTCAGTTTCCCCGCTAACTTTAGCGGGGAAAAGGACGCCACGGCCTCGTGTCACGTCACCCATGAACAAATTCAGCGGCAGGAGGAGAGGAGGACGCCCGAAATCAAACTTTCAGCCGTGATATTTGTAAAACTACAGATGATATTGAAAAAAAAAATAAAACCTGACAATTCAGGGACACAGACTGAGCTGAAAACAGTCGTAATCCCAAATGCGGTAAATAATGACCAGAGTTGCCCTTTAAAGGGCAACTCTGGTCATATCAGTGCGCCATATTTTTACCGGACGACGCGGAAACCTCCTTCACCTACGGGGGCGACCCGCGGTGTCGAAAGCGCTCGATATGAGACGTCTTTGGTCCTGGTAAGAGCCGCCAAAAACTTTGTTCCTCGTCAGAGCCGCCAAAAACTTAATTTTTGTCGAAATACAAACTATAAGTGGCGCCGAGCCGTTTCAATTATTTATAAAAGTGGGTTTTGTTCGGAGTTTTAGATCAGAAAAGAAACAAATGCAGTTTATAAAGCACGGAAACAAGAAATGACCCGTTGATATACCCGCCACCAAGCGGTGGAAAAGGCGCCGCATACTATAAAGGTATAGTGGTATCACGCACCGACGACCGGCGAGCGTAGCAAGGTACGCGGCGGCGCTGAAGTCGAGGATTCGACCGGTTCCGAGCGTTCCGAAGGCCTTCGGCGAGCAGCTTTGGTTTGCGGTTTGGCCCTTCGGCGGCATGGCAGCGCGAAGTGGCTCCCGTTCTGAACTGATTTTTACGCCGTGTTTGCTGTCGTTTGTGGCCAATGAAGTGTCATGCCGAATTAGTGTTTAATCGCGCAACAAATGCAATGCGAGCCGCCCTGCAGCTGCCCGCTTCATACAGCCTAGCCAGAACATGCTTTAGAGGCGCCCTCTCGAGCCATCGATACGGAGTGCGGCAGCCGTGAGCGCTCGCTGAGCTCACTACCCCTTCTCTAGTTCAGTGCCACTCAAGCGACCAAAGACGTCATGAAGGAGGTTTATTTGTTCATGTTTTTGACATTTTAGTTTGCCTACAACTTTTAAAATAAAGCTAAATTCAAGAAACGAAAAGTTTCATTAAGTTACTACGTTCATTGCGCTCAGGTTCTGTGCAAATTAGAAACAAGTAAAAGAAGTCCTTGCAGGGCCCCTTTAAGGGGAAGCGAAGTGTAGCAGGTGTTCGGAATCATTAGAAATATATGGCTGGCCAACTCGCACTTGGAAATGTAGGCTGCTCAATATAGATTCATATCGTTTTCTTCTTTTTTGCTACTGCCCCTTGACAGCAGATATCAGGAAACTGCTGGTTGTGCCATGAGTGCAACGCTCCACTCAAGAGAGAGAGAGAAAATTGTCGGTATCATTGGATAAACAGTCGCCGTGCCCAAGGCCCAAGCCCAAGGCTCGTGGTAAGAAAACGTGCCAGCGCGTGTTTTCCGTCTACTGGCTGTCTTCATTTTTATTTTCAATTCTTTTCCAGAGTTGTCTGTTGTACCCGAGGACACGTATGAGTATATCTGGCCGTCAAACTCAACTGGCTTTTCAAACAGCAGCGATGGGATTGATGACATCGAGGGTTCTGGGATGGAGGAGGAGACACCGTCCGGAAGCAAAGACGCGGATCGCGTCACGCCGGAATGTCCGATAGGATTTGCTCCAGTCAACGGCACATGCGAAGGTATTATAACCAAACTAATACGCAGTGCCAAATAGGTAATTTTAATGGAATTTAGCCAGATAAAAACTCGTACAATTCGCAGTGTAATTAAGTAATTCATTACTTATAATCAGGGGTGTGTGGAGATTGCTCAGAATGGTATAGCGCCGCGGCATTGCTAGCTTCAGCGCTGTAAAGAAAGCCAGTGTGTAGTGGTTGTCTTAAACACGTCGAAGACTATGATGATGCATCGGTATTTAATTCAAAGCACTATTTCCACAGCCCTACTTAAGTTTATTTTATTTATTGCAAAGACAATTGCATGACGTTAAAACTAAGCTCACTTTTCAATAAGCCAATCTGACCTTTCCTAATAAAATAAGTCTTAGAGTGCGGAAAAACGTTTATTTGGTGTGGAAAAACAATGCAGCATGCACAGCACTTTAATGACTTAAGTCATCGAAATTCAATGGTGGTGTTTGATGAAAATTAAGAGTATTCAAATCCATTTTGGCAGGACCTATCCTTAAATTGTGTCCACATGTCAGTCGGGTATGTGAAATCTCATCTTATATGCTGCGGAGCCCTTTCTCAGGATATCCCTTCGTTTTCAAAAAGAGTATCACCAGCCGATTTTTGGACAAAAATTGTTCTAGCCAGGAGCTTGTGTTCCTTCTAGGAATAAGTATTAAGAGTCGTTCCTCTTCGTTTCAGCATTGGTGTGAAAAAAAAAACGGATGCCGCTTAATGGTCGACTTCGTAGCAACTCCACATTTCTTAACGTTTATGATAAACTTGAATATAAAGCTATTTTCATACCAGTGCCTTAAAAAAAATTAAAATTAAGACGACAGCAGAAGCATCCTACAACGCTTCACCCTCATATATTCACCAGTGTCGAACATACATTGACGTGTTTCAAGCTCCTGCCTTCTTGCGTTGCGAACATCACAGATATCAACGAATGCTCCTCCGGGACCAGCAACTTGTGTGCCCACATCTGCAACAACACCATTGGAAGTTTTCGCTGTAGCTGCAGGGAAGGATACACGTTGAGCGAGACTGGGACCGGCTGTGAAGGCAAGTAAATAGCACAGTTGTTCATCACTTTTGAAAGTTTACAAGTTCCAAATCATTTCTAGGACTCCCTTTGGCCACCTTAAAATGGTGGCATTGCGACGACCTTCTGCTGTCTTTTGACATCAGTACCCTATTCAAGCTACTTCATTCATTGCACCTTAAAACAAAGCACTGGCCCGGAATATAGAAATATATTTTACATTATAGTATCAATATCTATGTATTGAAGTTTTTTACGCTATTTTTAAATCATCGTGCTTTTGTTCTTTGTACATGGCAAGTTTCCATGAAACCGAGCATCCACGTATGCTGCCATCGACTGTCTTTGACCGGTTAGGACCAAGGGAACATTTATAATGTGTTCTCGGCACCTATTGTGAACCAGAACACAAATTAGTTGTTAGGAGACTCTAAAATATACTGCAGTAAACAATGGTACTCGATGTCGCCGTCATTCTAACCATATTCGCTTGCCTCTACTTTCATAATATCAAGTAAACTTATTGAAAATGAGATTCGGATTGCGAGAGCCGATCTTTGTTTCATTTCAAATTTTAAGTTTTTTTTTCCTTTGCTTTTATATAAGACATCGATGAGTGCTCCTCGCATTCGACTCATCCCTGCTCGAATATCTGCAAAAATACCCAAGGTAGCTACTACTGCGCATGCTTCCAGGGATACAAACTGGACGGAACTAGAAGAAATTGCGTAGGTGAGTTGAACTTTCTCCAAAGTTCTAGGAAACACCACAGTTATCCCGAACGTGTAATCACAAATATGTCTGAATTTTTTGCGCTGGACCGAAATATTCCTATCGAAACTCAGTGGTATAAAATATCACCAAAAGGGGGGGGGGGGGGGGGGGGTACTTTATTTTGAGTACACATCTCGGTCTTCCGCGATAAAGTGTAAGGGTAAACTACGACAGCAATCCGCCAATGTCGTCCTCTTGCTAAATACAGCTACATACATTTGCATTTGCCTATGCACGAGTGTGTTTTGATTTCTTAAAACCGCTTAAGAGACTATAGCACAGTGGCACCATCTATCGAGTGGCCGTAGAACGCTTCTGTCTTAATTGTATATGTTGTTTTTTTTCTTGTTTTTTTTGTGCGTATTTTTTTACCGTGGGCCTGACATAATTCTTACAATATTATAAGCGACTATTTCAAACAGAGTGCGTAAAGTTGATCTCGGTGGTTACGAAAGATCATGACATGTTCGGCACAGTAAACCTGTATCAAAGAAAATACATCGAGAAAGAGATAACGAAAGACTTTTTCTTGCCTCCCGCAATGCACAGATATTGACGAGTGCTCGATGGGCCGGCATGGCTGCGGGGATGTATGCGAAAACGTTGACGGAAGTTACAGGTGCAAGTGTCATCCAGGACGGATTTCGCTCGGTGGAGGGCGTTGTCAAGGTACCATCCATTTCATGCGCAATAGACGGTTTGTGTTCATTGGGGACGCAGATATGTTTCTAAGATATCTGTCCCGCTTTGAAAGAACATAATTTGAGATTAAGTAGATACGAAACCTTTCACATCCATAGTCACAGGGTCTACCGCAAAAACTGTAGGCATATTACTCGTATTTTATGCAGGCCTGTAAGCCTGCATATAGTAAATAAAAGATAGTTCACCAACTTTTTTTAAAGCCGATATTACGTTACAAAGGAACAAAATAATAACTGAGACATTGGTAGATTGCGGTATTTTTAACGCGAAAGCATAACTATCCCATGGAGCGAAGCCAGCGGTGTCTGTAACCGCAAAAAACGAGCCATAAACTCTTATTTTCCCATTGGCTGAGCGAAACGGACCCTAAAATCCCATTGGCTGCGACGCGTCATAGTACCAAGGAACGCCACCCCACAGAAAAGCCCTCTCCTGGCGCTGCGGCTCGCGCGCCGGTAAAAGAGAGGGTGGCGCGCGTGCGACCGCCACTCTCTCCCCCCTCTAGGGTCACGTGTCACGCGTGGTAGGAGGGGGAGGGGTAGCGGGATTTTCCCTCTCCCTCTTCCTGTGCACTACTGTATCACGAGTTCTGCAGCGCTGCTTGTGGAGCACTAACAATCAGAGCTGTACGCAGCTCTTACAAGCACGCAGCAAGATGCTTGTAGGGATACTTTCGCACTCCTACATGTAAGCAGTCTTAAGTGTCATCCTCTAAGTTTTATACCTACATTTGGACGAAGTTGCATTGCAGAAGAAAAACTGTAGTGGAAACATTTTCTTGAATTATTCGAGAAACAAACATTTACAGACATTGCTCGAGGTAAATCATGATTAATGTGCTGAACCTCAAGGCGAGATTATATTGGTTTTCATTAAATATTTAATTTTTTTATGGAAAGTAGCGCAACAGTGGGAGGTACTAAAAAATGTGCAGCGGTTCTGTCACGAATGTGCAATTTAGGTTGTTTTTTTCCTAAAACTTACCTAAACTATTTGTTAAAAAAAATTAATTGGTTTCAGTGATTATGCGGCAATTTATTAACACCAATACCTCTACGTTTCGGTACTCATCTTGGCATCGTGCAGAAAATGTCATGGTAACTAAGAAAACCCGATTTCTCCTCGCTTTTTCCTCACACCGTTAGCAATTGGCAACGATCGCGTAACTACAATAAAAATGTAACCCCGGTACTTTGTGCAGTTAGATTTATGAACACTTTTGCGAACACCAACTCAACTCGCACCTACCTAGATTTACATAATGTCCCTGCTCTTAAACTCTAATGCAGAAGACGTCTTAGTAACACACTCCCCTCTGCAATGCCCTCGGGTCCTGCGGGTTGTGAAATAAATAATCGCTCACAGTTTCTGGCTTCAGTCATATTCGGAGTCAAAAACGGCGTGCTATGTGCATCTCCATGTTCAATTCTTCCTCTTTCTTCGAAGACTGTCAAAAAAACACGTTCAAGGATCCAAAGGGAGAGGCTTGCGTACGATGCCCACCCAATACCCACACGATTGCTTCAAGAGCCGCGTCTGTCGACGACTGCGTGTGCGACGGCGGCTTCCGGAAATCATCGAACAGTGGACAAGGCTGCGAAGGTAACCTACTTCGCCTCGTTCTCTGTTCAGCAATGCACATCACTACAATTAGTTTCCCCGTAACTTGGTAAAGAGCAAACGTTAAGGCCCTCTCAAGCCAATCAGGGCGACGGAAGCAAAGCACGTTTCATCACTTCCCTTAGGTATAGGGAGAGAGCGCAGCCCGTGCAGTCGGATAATAAGGGAACATTTATAATGTGTTCTCGGCACCTATTGTGAACCAGAACACAAATTAGTTGTTAGGAGACTCTAAAATATACTGCAGTAAACAATGGTACTCGATGTCGCCGTCATTCTAACCATATTCGCTTGCCTCTACTTTCATAATATCAAGTAAACTTATTGAAAATGAGATTCGGATTGCGAGAGCCGATCTTTGTTTCATTTCAAATTTTAAGTTTTTTTTTCCTTTGCTTTTATATAAGACATCGACGAGTGCTCCTCGCATTCGACTCATCCCTGCTCGAACATCTGCAAAAATACCCAAGGTAGCTACTACTGCGCATGCTTCCAGGGATACAAACTGGACGGAACTAGAAGAAATTGCGTAGGTGAGTTGAACTTTCTCCAAAGTTCTAGGAAACACCACAGTTATCCCGAACGTGTAATCACAAATATGTCTGAATTTTTTGCGCTGGACCGAAATATTCCTATCGAAACTCAGTGGTATAAAATATCACCAAAAGGCGGGGGGGGGGGGGGGGGGGGGGTACTTTATTTTGAGTACACATCTCGGTCTTCCGCGATAAAGTGTAAGGGTAAACTACGACAGCAATCCGCCAATGTCGTCCTCTTGCTAAATACAGCTACATACATTTGCATTTGCCTATGCACGAGTGTGTTTTGATTTCTTAAAACCGCTTAAGAGACTAGCACAGTGGCACCATCTATCGAGTGGCCGTAGAACGCTTCTGTCTTAAGTGTATATGTTTTTTTTTTCTTGTTTTTTTTGTGCGTATTTTTTTACCGTGGGCCTGACATAATTCTTACAATATTATAAGCGACTATTTCAAACAGAGTGCGTAAAGTTGATCTCGGTGGTTACGAAAGATCATGACATGTTCGGCACAGTAAACCTGTATCAAAGAAAATACATCGAGAAAGAGATAACGAAAGACTTTTTCTTGCCTCCCGCAATGCACAGATATTGACGAGTGCTCGATGGGCCGGCATGGCTGCGGGGATGTATGCGAAAACGTTGACGGAAGTTACAGGTGCAAGTGTCATCCAGGACGGATTTCGCTCGGTGGAGGGCGTTGTCAAGGTACCATCCATTTCATGCGCAATTAAACTCAGACGGTTTGTGTTCATTGGGGACGCAGATATGTTTCTAAGATATCTGTCCCGCTTTGAAAGAACATAATTTGAGATTAAGTAGATACGAAATCTTTTACATCCATAGTCACAGGGTCTACCGCAAAAACTGTAGGCATATTACTCGTATTTTATGCAGGCCTGTAAGCCTGCATATAGTAAATAAAAGATAGTTTACCAACTTTTTTTAAAGCCGATATTACGTTACAAAGGAACAAAATAATAACTGAGACATTGGTAGATTGCGGTATTTTTAACGCGAAAGCATAACTATCCCATGGAGCGAAGCCAGCGGTGTCTGTAACCGCAAAAAACGAGCCATAAACTCTTATTTTCCCATTGGCTGAGCGAAACGGACCCTAAAATCCCATTGGCTGCGACGCGTCATAGTACCAAGGAACGCCACCCCACAGAAAAGCCCTCTCCTGGCGCTGCGGCTCGCGCGCCGGTAAAAGAGAGGGTGGCGCGCGTGCGACCGCCACTCTCTCCCCCCTCTAGGGTCACGTGTCACGCGTGGTAGGAGGGGGAGGGGTAGCGGGAATTTCCCTCTCCCTCTTCCTGTGCACTACTGTATCACGAGTTCTGCAGCGCTGCTTGTGGAGCACTAACAATCAGAGCTGTACGCAGCTCTTACAAGCACGCAGCAAGATGCTTGTAGGGATACTTTCCCACTCCTACATGTAAGCAGTCTTAAGTGTCATCCTCTAATTTTTATACCTACATTTGGACGAAGTTGCATTGCAGAAGAAAAACTGTAGTGGAAACATTTTCTTGAATTATTCGAGAAACAAACATTTACAGACATTGCTCGAGGTAAATCATGATTAATGTGCTGAACCTCAAGGCGAGATTATATTGGTTTTCATTAAATATTTATTTTTTTTATGGAAAGTAGCGCAACAGTGGGAGGTACTAAAAAATGTGCAGCGGTTCTGTCACGAATGTGCAATTTAGGTTGTTTTTTTCCTAAAACTTACCTAAACTATTTGTTAAAAAAAAATTTATTGGTTTCAGTGATTATGCGGCAATTTATTAACACCAATACCTCTACGTTTCGGTACTCATCTTGGCATCGTGCAGAAAATGTCATGGTAACTAACAAAACCCGATTTCTCCTCGCTTTTTCCTCACACCGTTAGCAATTGGCAACGATCGCGTAACTACAATAAAAATGTAACCCCGGTACTTTGTGCAGTTAGATTTATGATCACTTTTGCGAACACCAACTCAACTCGCACCTACCTAGATTTACATAATGTCCCTGCTCTTAAACTCTAATGCAGAAGACGTCTTAGTAACACACTCCCCTCTGCAATGCCCTCGGGTCCTGCGGGTTGTGAAATAAATAATCGCTCACAGTTTCTGGCTTCAGTCATATTCGGAGTCAAAAACGGCGTGCTATGTGCATCTCCATGTTCAATTCTTCCTCTTTCTTCGAAGACTGTCAAAAAAACACGTTCAAGGATCCAAAGGGAGAGGCTTGCGTACGATGCCCACCCAATACCCACACGATTGCTTCAAGAGCCGCGTCTGTCGACGACTGCGTGTGCGACGGCGGCTTCCGGAAATCATCGAACAGTGGACAAGGCTGCGAAGGTAACCTACTTCGCCTCGTTCTCTGTTCAGCAATGCACATCACTACAATTAGTTTCCCCGTAACTTGGTAAAGAGCAAACGTTAAGGCCCTCTCAAGCCAATCAGGGCGACGGAAGCAAAGCACGTTTCATCACTTCCCTTAGGTATAGGGAGAGAGCGCAACCCGTGCAGTCGGATAATAAGGGAACATTTATAATGTGTTCTCGGCACCTATTGTGAACCAGAACACAAATTAGTTGTTAGGAGACTCTAAAATATACTGCAGTAAACAATGGTACTCGATGTCGCCGTCATTCTAACCATATTCGCTTGCCTCTACTTTCATAATATCAAGTAAACTTATTGAAAATGAGATTCGGATTGCGAGAGCCGATCTTTGTTTCATTTCAAATTTTAAGTTTTTTTTTCCTTTGCTTTTATATAAGACATCGACGAGTGCTCCTCGCATTCGACTCATCCCTGCTCGAACATCTGCAAAAATACCCAAGGTAGCTACTACTGCGCATGCTTCCAGGGATACAAACTGGACGGAACTAGAAGAAATTGCGTAGGTGAGTTGAACTTTCTCCAAAGTTCTAGGAAACACCACAGTTATCCCGAACGTGTAATCACAAATATGTCTGAATTTTTTGCGCTGGACCGAAATATTCCTATCGAAACTCAGTGGTATAAAATATCACCAAAAGGGGGGGGGGGGGGGGGGGGGGGGGGGTACTTTATTTTGAGTACACATCTCGGTCTTCCGCGATAAAGTGTAAGGGTAAACTACGACAGCAATCCGCCAATGTCGTCCTCTTGCTAAATACAGCTACATACATTTGCATTTGCCTATGCACGAGTGTGTTTTGATTTCTTAAAACCGCTTAAGAGACTAGCACAGTGGCACCATCTATCGAGTGGCCGTAGAACGCTTCTGTCTTAAGTGTATATGTTTTTTTTTCTTGTTTTTTTTGTGCGTATTTTTTTACCGTGGGCCTGACATAATTCTTACAATATTATAAGCGACTATTTCAAACAGAGTGCGTAAAGTTGATCTCGGTGGTTACGAAAGATCATACTTTGATACAGTAAACCTGTATCAAAGAAAATACATCGAGAAAGAGATAACGAAAGACTTTTTCTTGCCTCCCGCAATGCACAGATATTGACGAGTGCTCGATGGGCCGGCATGGCTGCGGGGATGTATGCGAAAACGTTGACGGAAGTTACAGGTGCAAGTGTCATCCAGGACGGATTTCGCTCGGTGGAGGGCGTTGTCAAGGTACCATCCATTTCATGCGCAATAGACGGTTTGTGTTCATTGGGGACGCAGATATGTTTCTAAGATATCTGTCCCGCTTTGAAAGAACATAATTTGAGATTAAGTAGATACGAAATCTTTTACATCCATAGTCACAGGGTCTACCGCAAAAACTGTAGGCATATTACTCGTATTTTATGCAGGCCTGTAAGCCTGCATATAGTAAATAAAAGATAGTTTACCAACTTTTTTTAAAGCCGATATTACGTTACAAAGGAACAAAATAATAACTGAGACATTGGTAGATTGCGGTATTTTTAACGCGAAAGCATAACTATCCCATGGAGCGAAGCCAGCGGTGTCTGTAACCGCAAAAAACGAGCCATAAACTCTTATTTTCCCATTGGCTGAGCGAAACGGACCCTAAAATCCCATTGGCTGCGACGCGTCATAGTACCAAGGAACGCCACCCCACAGAAAAGCCCTCTCCTGGCGCTGCGGCTCGCGCGCCGGTAAAAGAGAGGGTGGCGCGCGTGCGACCGCCACTCTCTCCCCCCTCTAGGGTCACGTGTCACGCGTGGTAGGAGGGGGAGGGGTAGCGGGAATTTCCCTCTCCCTCTTCCTGTGCACTACTGTATCACGAGTTCTGCAGCGCTGCTTGTGGAGCACTAACAATCAGAGCTGTACGCAGCTCTTACAAGCACGCAGCAAGATGCTTGTAGGGATACTTTCGCACTCCTACATGTAAGCAGTCTTAAGTGTCATCCTCTAATTTTTATACCTACATTTGGACGAAGTTGCATTGCAGAAGAAAAACTGTAGTGGAAACATTTTCTTGAATTATTCGAGAAACAAACATTTACAGACATTGCTCGAGGTAAATCATGATTAATGTGCTGAACCTCAAGGCGAGATTATATATGTTTTCATTAAATATTTAATTTTTTTTATGGAAAGTAGCGCAACAGTGGGAGGTACTAAAAAATGTGCAGCGGTTCTGTCACGAATGTGCAATTTAGGTTGTTTTTTTCCTAAAACTTACCTAAACTATTTGTTAAAAAAAATTAATTGGTTTCAGTGATTATGCGGCAATTTATTAACACCAATACCTCTACGTTTCGGTACTCATCTTGGCATCGTGCAGAAAATGTCATGGTAACTAAGAAAACCCGATTTTTCCTCGCTTTTTCCTCACACCGTTAGCAATTGGCAACGATCGCGTAACTACAATAAAAATGTAACCCCGGTACTTTGTGCAGTTAGATTTATGAACACTTTTGCGAACACCAACTCAACTCGCACCTACCTAGATTTACATAATGTCCCTGCTCTTAAACTCTAATGCAGAAGACGTCTTAGTAACACACTCCCCTCTGCAATGCCCTCGGGTCCTGCGGGTTGTGAAATAAATAATCGCTCACAGTTTCTGGCTTCAGTCATATTCGGAGTCAAAAACGGCGTGCTATGTGCATCTCCATGTTCAATTCTTCCTCTTTCTTCGAAGACTGTCAAAAAAACACGTTCAAGGATCCAAAGGGAGAGGCTTGCGTACGATGCCCACCCAATACCCACACGATTGCTTCAAGAGCCGCGTCTGTCGACGACTGCGTGTGCGACGGCGGCTTCCGGAAATCATCGAACAGTGGACAAGGCTGCGAAGGTAACCTACTTCGCCTCGTTCTCTGTTCAGCAATGCACATCACTACAATTAGTTTCCCCGTAACTTGGTAAAGAGCAAACGTTAAGGCCCTCTCAAGCCAATCAGGGCGACGGAAGCAAAGCACGTTTCATCACTTCCCTTAGGTATAGGGAGAGAGCGCAACCCGTGCAGTCGGATAATAAGGGAACATTTATAATGTGTTCTCGGCACCTATTGTGAACCAGAACACAAATTAGTTGTTAGGAGACTCTAAAATATACTGCAGTAAACAATGGTACTCGATGTCGCCGTCATTCTAACCATATTCGCTTGCCTCTACTTTCATAATATCAAGTAAACTT